GATAAAAATTCAATTCAATAAATAAAAGGTGCAATTTCTAAATGTAAGAGTGTATTTTTCTTAATAGGAAGTAGCTAAATAAATTGATCCACTTTTATAGTTTGTTAGATTATGTACATATTCGCTATACCAATGAATATTCGTTGTGATTTTCAGTGTAATGTCTGACGTTGTATTTTTTATTGCAATATAGCACTTTTTTTAAAACTTAATTTCATGTAGTAGTTTTTTTTATTAATTAAAGTAATTACGATTTTACATTCAAATTATATTAAAAATAAATTATTTTTTAAAATATCAATTATGTATCTTTTCAAAGCTTTGTTGTATGGGTTGATTTTTTGGAGATATGAAAGAAGCATTTTGATAGATATGTGAAAGAAACAAATTCGTAAGGAATAATGATATGAGAATGTTGAGGTTGATTTGTAGGAGATCTAGAATGTTTTGTTCGTGTATCTATATTTATTTAACTAAATATTAATTATTGATAAAAAAATATAAGATATGATGAGTATTAGTGTATTACTAATTTGCCATTAAAAATAAGTCAAAGTAAGGGTTTTTAGGTAGTTCATTTATTAATTAAAAATATAAAATAAGATGGATATTACAGTATTACTAATTTGCCATTAAAAATATGTCAAAGTAAGGGTTTTTAAGGTAGATCATTATTTTTACAAAATCACTCGTCCTTTTATAATAGTATATATATATATATATATATATATATATATATATATATGTATATTTGCTGCTAAAGATTTGGTTTTTTCTATGAAAGAGACAGAGAGAGATGGGCTGGAGAGGAATTTTGGGATTTGAGTATGGCATAGTTCAGGCGTCATTAGGGCCCGATATATTTGGCCCTCAGCTTGTTGCAGTTGTTACCAATGCTATAGGGCTTGGTCTTCTCAGTGGTCCTCATCGGGTAGCTTTTTTAACCATTTATTATTCCTTCTATCTCACTTATCTTCATGTTGTTGTAGGCTAACATTCAGCACCGTATAGCATCGCCGGGCGAATCGCCGTCCTATAGAACTTACCTTTTAGCCTTTGTGGCACCCTCTTATCACAGAGAACGCCCGACGCTTGACGCCATTTCAACCAACTGGCTGCAATTCTATGCCTAACATCAGCATCAATGCCGCCATCCTTTTGCAGCATCGATCCTAAATACCGGAAAGTCTCCTTCTTGGACACCACTTGTCCGTCAAGGCTGACGTCACCATCATCATTAGGAGCCATGCTGAAAGCGCACGTCATGTACTCGGTCTTCGTCCTACTAAGTCTGAAGCCTTTCGACTCTAACGCGTCCCTCTACAGCTCTAACTTCCTATTTACCCTTGCCCTACTCTCGTCAACTAGCACCACATCATCAGCAAAGAGCATACACCAAGGGATATCACCTTGTATGTCCCTTCTGACCTCGTCCATCACCAAGGCAAATAAATAAGGGCTCAATGCTGACCCCTGGTGTAGTCCTATCTTAATTGGGAAGTCGCTGGTATCGCCCCCATATGTTCGGACACACGTCATCGCATCCTTGTACATATCCTTGATAAGGGTAATGTACTTAGATGGGACTTTGTGCTTTTCTAAGGCCCACCACATGACATTCCTCGGAACTCTATCATAAGCCTTCTCAAGGTCGATAAAGACCATGTGCAAGTCCTTCTTTTGGTCCCTATATCTCTCCATCAACTATCGCATTAGGAAAATCGCCTCCATGGTCGACCTTCCAGGCATAAACCAAAATTGGTTTTGGGTCACACTCGTCCCTCGTCGTAGACGACGCTCGATAACCCTCTCCCAGAGCTTCATCGTGTGGCTCATCAACTTAATCCCACGGTAGTTACCACAGCTTTGAATATCTCCCTTGTTCTTGAAGATCGGTACTAAAGTACTTCTCCTCCATTCAGCAGGCATCTTGTTTGACCGAAAAATGAGGTTAAAAAGCTTAGTTAGCCATACTAACGCTCTAGCGCCTAAGCATCTCCACACCTCAAAGGGAATACCATCAGGGCCCATTGCTTTACCTCCCTTCATCCTCTTCATAGCCTCTCCGATCTCTGCCTAGCGAATTCTCCTCACCACGCGTCTATTGGTATCCTCAAATGAGTCATCCAACTCCAGGATAGGACCTTCACTCTCCCCATTAAACAATTTTTCGAAGTACTCTCGCCATCTGTCCTTGATCTCCCCATTCTTCACCAGTGGCTGATCCGACTCATCCTTGATGCATTTGATTTGGTTGATGTCCCTTGTCTTCCTCTCTCGAATCCTAGCCATCCTATAAATGTCCTTCTCTCCCTCCTTCGTGTCTAGGTGCTGATAAAGGTCATCATAGGCCTAACCCTTCGCTACACTCACGGCACGCTTTGCAGCCCTTCTCGCTATTTGATAGCTCTCAAAGTTGGTTGCACTCTTGTCAAGGTGGACGCGCTTGAAACACTCCTTCTTCTCCTGAATAGCCCTTTGCACCTCGTCATTCCACCACCAAGTGTCCTTCGCTTCCTATTTGCCTCCCCTACTCACACCAAGTACCTCTGCAGCCACCTTCCGTACACATGTTGCCATCTTTAGCCACATGTCATCTGCATCTTCTCCTTCTTCCCAAGGCCCCTCGCTTAGAATCCTATCCCTAAACGTCTGCGTCGCTTCCCCTTTAAGCTTCCACCACTTCGTTCTCATGGTGTTGGCACGTTTGCCCCGGTGGATACGTATTCGGAATCGAAAATCCGCCACCACCAGCTTATGCTGGGGGACAACACACTCCCCAGGTATCACCTTGCAATCTATGCAAGCGCTTCTATCCTCCCTCCTTGCAAGGATAAAATCGATCTGACTTGAGTGTCGTCCACTATAGAAGGTCACCAGGTGAGATTCCCTCTTCCTAAAGAGGGTGTTCGCTATCAACAAGTCGTAGGCCATCGCAAAGTCCAACACACCCTCCCCCTCTTCGTCCCTACTACCATACCCAAACCCTCTGTGCACTCTCTCGAAACCTACCTTAGTCACACCCACATGGCTGTTTAGGTCCCCTCCTATGAAGAGCTTCTCGCTGGCAGGCACCGTACTAACCAAGGTATCCAGATCCTCCCAGAATTGCCTCTTTGCGCTCTCACTAAGGCCTACCTGAGGGGCATAGGCACTGATCACATTCATGGTCAAATCTCCAACTACCAATCGGACTAGGATAATCCGGTCGCCTTGCCTCCTAACATCGACAACTCCATTCTTAAGGCTCCTATCGATCAAGATGCCTACACCATTCCTACTCGATGAAGCCCCAGTGAACCAAAGCTTGAAGCCAGTATCCTCCACCTCCTTCGCCTTCTGACCCTTCCATTTTGTCTCCTGGACGCATAGGATATTTATATGCCTCCTCGTAGCTGCATCGACTAGCTCACGTAGCTTACCCGTTAGGGACCCTACGTTCCAACTACCTATACGGACCCTAGTTGGTTCGACTAGCTTCCTTGCCCTTCGCACCCGTCGAGAGAGATGCGAAGACCCTTGCTCATTTTCCACTACACCCAGGTGCCGATGTAGCGCGCCACTAAGGAAATGACGACCCGGTCCTTCCTCACTTAACGCCATGCCCAAACCACGACATGGCGCGTCCCTGAGGGGGAGACGACCCGGCCCTTGCCCATTTGACACCATACCCGGGTTCCGATATGGCGCGTTGCTAAGAGGGTTACGCCCCAACGAATTTCTCATGTGTTTCATCTCCATAGAACGGCTAGGTTTTATGTTGGCTCGCTAAGCCTATCACAACCCTCCTCCTTTACCAGGTTTGGGACCTGCTATGTTGAGACAACATAGCGGGAGTTAAACAGAGTCTAGAATATTAAAAGAAAAACAAATGAAATTACAAACAAGTTAAATAAAATTATTATTAAAAAAATAAATAACTTATACAACTTTTATATATTTGCATTCCGCAACATCGTCGTCTTTGGATGCCTCCTTTAACCGTGCCGCCTTGAAAAGCCGAAACCCTTTCGACCTTGAACACCACCAGAATACGAGCCCATGAGCCTTTTCCATGTAAGGTGCGGACTAAGCCCATCACTTTGGCAAATCCATTATTGTTCACCACCTAGTAGGCTAATTCCGCTTTATAACCCAATAAAGCAGATGTCTTCCAGTCGCCTCGCCATTAGAGATGTCAGATTAAGATCTCCCTCGCCTATCTCTGTGTGTGTGAGAGAGAAGGATCGTATTCTTACTATTTTTATGAACAAAAAAGAAGGAAATTTTAGAAAAAAAATTAAATACTTTTAACAAAATGAACAAAGAAGAAAGAAGAAAAAATTAAAAAGAAGATGAAGAAGAAAGAGAGTAAAAAACTTGAACCGTCAATTCAAAAAAATATTAAATACAGATGTAATAACTTCCTTTGAACCGCTAATTAAAAAACACGTATTGTAAGAATAAAGAAGGTACAAAATATTAAAAAGGAGATACAAAACATAAACAAACAAAATGAATTGCAAAAATATAAATAAAAAATATAACTAGGCGCGCCATTAACTCTAAATAGGTCGGGTGGTACCCAACAAATCTTGGTTGTAGGCCTGCCAATTGCCATCGCCTTGGCTGTTGGGTCCAAGTTTCAAAAGCATGGGCCGTAATGCAAATATTCATGTATATCCAAATTTCAATACTATGGGTTGAAAACGTAAATATTCCTTTCTTCTTCGTTCGTATATTGTAGACCGCGTACGTATTACGCACCGTATTTCTAACAGATTCTATTGAAACGACATAGATTAATGCTTCGGTGAACTCAAACTCTCTTTTTCTCAACCCTAGTCCCTATAGCTTACCCACCATAATCTGAACTGTCTTTCGCGGGTTATTATCGTAAAACAATAATAAACTTAAAAAGTGAAGGATGTTTTTTTTTTTTTTCCGCATATAAATGGTGGGGAAGAGTGAAGGCCGTTCTCTGTAACACTCTCAGTCGGTAAAAAGGAGTATTTATTCTGATGTCGACCCCAGAAGACAAGAAGCCTTCCGGCGGAGACTCATCCGTACACATCAATCTCAAAGTGCAAAGACAGGTATACCCCCTTCTTCCTCATGTTATTTTCCTTTTANAGGTGTGATTTTTTTCTTAATGTCTATTGTGTGCCTGCCTGGTTGCAGGAATTTGCTTCCTGGGTTGTTCTTTTTCTTTGGTTTTTCCTGTTCGTTTTAATTTACTTTGGTGCACTTTGCGAGTAGAATTGTGATTGATGGCCTTTGGAAATTTGGATGAAACCCTTTTAGGGATAGAGGCAGTCTTAATGTTTCAGTATATGTTAGTTGTTTAATCTAGTTTTATAAAAACCTGAAGAAAGTAATGGATGGCGCATGCCTGAGATAAATATGGCATTATATATATTCATGCAGTTATTCCTAATAATGAACTACAAAGTTGACTAGGAGATACTAAATCTGTATTCTTATTGTGAAATTCTGATAAATTTGGTTGTTTGGCCATAGCTTGTTCAATTTGCTTGCTTGGTCTCTCTTGTGAGTGAAATTGAGAATGCCCTCGATTATTTGTTATCTTGAAACCATTCTGGTTTTTATATCTTGTCATGTCATTATGAACACTAACCATCTCATATCTGCTTTATATACATTGTACAACGAATAAATTGGCGGCAAAATATTTCATAGATGCAAGCATTTCATCCTGGGATGGAGAATTTTAATATGTTGCTGTTATTGTATCTTCTGATGTGTTAATACCCCAAAGAACAATGAGTTATTTTGTTCTTTGATTAATAGCTTTTTATTGGCATTTTCCATTCACGTGTGATATTTGTTGTGGCCTGGTCCTGTTTCTCGGCCTAAACTTGTTCGCTTTTAGTTAACTTTGCCTAGTCATTTACTTTTGCAAAGAGGGACTTGTTTCTTTCTCTTACAAAATCAAGAATTATATCTCTCTCATTTTCTCTTTCTTTTTATTTTTTTTTTTTTTTGGGTATTCTGAGTAAGGTTTGGTTAATTCCCCCACACCTACTCAATACCCCGGAATTGCTATCTTCTATCATGTGTAGTGATGCCAGTCTGCTGTTAGCTATGTTGAACTTGCATTTTGGATGAGAAAATCTTCTGTACTTTTAGTTTTGGAAGGCTTTGCTCTGTTTGTTCTTTATTTAAAAAAAAAAAAAATGCTTTTGAGACAATGTTTTGGTTAATGATTTCTATAGTGATATGGTTTGATTGCTTGTTTGTAGGAAGGAACTGATGTGTTCTTCAGGATCAAGAGAAACACACAACTTAAGAAGCTTATGAAGGCTTACTGTGATAATGAATCACTGAATATCGACCTCATTGCTTTTTTATTTGATGGCCGTCCTCTCCGTGGGGAGCAGACTCCAGATGAGGTTTTCCTTTCTCACCTTCTTATTAGCACTTGTTTTTAGTTATTTACTTTTATCTATATTTGAAAAGTTGGGATGATTAATACCTAGTGTTGTGCTTGACAGCTCGAAATGGAAGATGGTGATGAGATAGATGCAATGCTGCACCAGATCGGAGGTTTTACTGCTTGCCAAGAATTCAAGAATATTGTTTGAAAGTGCACTGCTTTTATGTAATATATATTTGATCTGTTGAGAATTATTGAAATCTGATTTTCTTGATACTTGGTGACTTAGTCTTAGTAGGTTTTGTGTGGTGTTTGTGCCTTTGTGGGGATGCTGTGTGATTGTTATGGTTGTGGCATTGATCATTTTGGATTTATTGGTGTGCTTCAATTGTCTGCTTTTTTGGGTTGATGGTGAAGATTTTCTGATTTTGTCTGCATTTTTGTTCTTTGCTTCTTCTTTCTTGGGTTTGGAAGAGAATGGATTGCATGAGGAGATTAGGCATGTTTGAGTTTACTGTTTATATGTTAGCCGAATTCCTGTTTGAGAAAAAGTGGTGGAAGGTGATTTCGTGAGTGGTGAAGAGTCAGACTCTTATTTTAAATGAATGTATATTAATTACTAATTTATTTAAAGTTCATTGTATGCTTATTATATCCAATTAGTACAACGACCGTGGATTACACGAGTGTTTCATAAAAAAACTAATTGTCCAATAAAAAGTAAAAAAGAATTGAAATTCTTATTGTGAAATAAAAAAAAAACTATAAATAGTTAATAAGAAAATATTTTTTTTAAATATTTATGAAGTATTATTTGTTTTATTTAATATATATTTATTTTTGTCAAAATTGAATATTATAATTAATTTATTCGACAGTTATAATGCATGTGAACAGCACGGGTGCATGAAAATTAAATACTTTTATCAAAATAAAGAAGTCAAGAAATTTTTATATTATAAATAGAATGATAAAAAATTAAAAATACATAATTAAAAAAATATTAAAGTTAATTATTTGAAGAAATAACCATCTTTTATACTCGATTTATCAAAATAAATAATTATTTTTATTCAAATAATTTAAAATATAATGTGTATGAGAATAACCTTTATAAAATATAATAATTGTTTTTATTATTCTAATTATAATGTTTATTCACTTTTTTTTTTAAGATTATTATAATCTTCACTCTCTATCTAGTCTTTATTTAAGTTGAGACATAAACCATAGAATATTTTTTTATATTAATTTGATGTTCATAGTTAGTTTACATATTTTTTTCCAAATAAAATAACTATCTTATAGTATGTTAACACATATAAATTTCTATTACTTTATAAGATAATTTATAGTTTTATTGGATATTTTTTAATTTATTGATAAATAAATTTAAATTTTCTTTATATGGATATATATCAATGTTTTGTATTATATATATAATATGGATGTCTCATCGAAGATCGTTAAAAGATAACTAATTTGATATATTATATATACAAAAATAAAATACAAACAAAAAAGTTATAAAATTTAAAAATAAGAAAGATAAATATTTATAATAATTGATGTGTCAATTAAATAAGCAAAGGAAATGTAGTATATGGTAACGTAAGAAAAGAAAACGTAAAAAGTTTATGGTAACTAACTGTATAATAAAGTAAGGAAAAAATCAGCCATAGATTTAATATGTATATCACATTAAATGAAATCCAAGACTTATTTTAGTATAAAAAATATTAATTTATATTCAAGTCTGACTCCGTAGCATGATTTTTTGCCACATAGGATTCCAAATCGTGAGAGTCAGTCATTTAGCCTCAACGCATTCAGTAATTATATATAAGGGTGATATTTAATAATTTATTAAATTATAAATTATCATGGAAATAATTTCTTTTAATATATACCCATCTGTTGAAAGAATAGTTTGAAATATAACAATGAAATATACACATATATACTTATATTCTTTGTNGAGAGGGAGGGGATGTATCCAATAAGTCCACTTCTTAAAATAAGTACATGAGATTCAATTTTAGCCATTGATTTTGTGTAGATGACTTACGTTAATCAATTAGAATATACATTATTTAAATAATAAAAATAATAATTATTATATTTAAATTAAAATATATAATAAATAAATTAGCTTAGTGTCGTTGACCGACAACCGACAGCCGTAACCCCCACGGTCGGAGTAGTAACTCCCGTGGCTACAGGAGCCATAAGCTACTTCAGCAGGCCGCCACGCTCGTCGGACAATGGCGGCCCCATATTCTCGATCTCCAAACCCCTATAGGGCGCATGTTCTAGAGGCGAGAGGCAGCCGAAAAGTCCTCGAAGAGGCGATGATCATGAGTGCAGGAAATAATGCAGGTCGTGGGCGTCCCAGTCTCACTCCTGGCAGAGGATGAGGCTGTCGTTGGTGCATCAGACGGAGACGGGGTCCACGGCGCAATTGTCGCAGATCGAAGGAGTGCGAATTTTTCATACTCTTTCACGATCTTGGATATGACTTTCTTCACGATCTTCATACTTCTAAATTTCTAAATGAGATTAAGTGCTCGTGTCTTCCAAATCATGAATTGCACTTGAAGGTCAGCACTCCAGTGATCTTGCTGAGAAACATTGATCACTTCATGCAGTTGTGGAATGGTACACGCTTGGTTATTTCTAAGCTCAACCACCATGTCCTCGAATGCAAAATTTTAATCGGTGCCAGATCTAGTGATAAGGTTCTTATTCATAGGCTCACAATCAGACCATCTGATTTAAGGGTACCATTCAAGTTTCAGTGCAGACAGTTTCCGCTCATGGTTTCTTATGCTATGACAATGAATAAGAGTCAAATTCAATCTCTGTTACACGTCGGCTTACTTCTGAAGAGCCTTGTATTCAATCATGGGCAATTGTACATGGCTCTTTCTAAAGTTAAGAGTCGGAGGGGTTTGTAAATAATAATTTGTGGTGATGAGGATTCTGACGATAGAAAAACTACGAATGGTGTATATAAAGAAGTGTTTAATAATATTTTTTTTTTCCAACAACAAACAAACTAATAAATAAAACTCAAAGCCATTGTTCATACAACAAGTACCCAATTGGGTACAAGCCCACAAGCAACTCCAACAAACAGAATTACCACAAGCAATGAGAGACTAATATTAGTCTCCCGAAAAGCCTCTAAGGCTAAAGAAAAAGAACCATAACAAGCTACTTTATCATACAAAAAAGAACACTTAACAAAGGAAGCATCAGTCTTCTTTCTATCAGCTGCAATGGCCACCCCTGCACCATTTGCCTCTTCCATCTGATTCAGTACTCTAGCTGTTGGAAAGGAATCAACACACCAACATATGGAAGTTGAAGCCCCAGTACTTTGCTTTTGCCAATCCCCATCTAACAGCTCTGGGAAGAGCTTCCTCAGCATTTGCAGCTTTTTCAGAGCATTCCTTCCAACTGAACTGCACACCTCCCTTCAGCCTCTACCAGTCCATTAAAACCAACTCTCCCATCTAGAAATAAGGAAGCACTGACAGTAAATAACAACTGTCCTCCTCCTCTTCCATATAGACCATGTCTCCTGCCATCCAAACCATATGATTCTCCTAATTCCATCTCCACCCCACCCTTGTCCCCAACTGTAATAGTCTCAAACTCCCTCCACTTCTTCCATGCTCCACCCATTAGATCCTTATCCTTAGTACTGATTTTATTAAACACCCATGAGTTCTTAGTTCTCCACAACTACCATAACAAGTAGGTTGAGAGATTAATTCTATCCTGGAAACATCCACCTTCATTTCCTAAGCATAAATCTCCTCACCAGTCTTTAAAGGACCAGTTTTTCCTACCAAAATGCACCCACTGCAGCCCACTAATTTTCCAACAGTTCACAACTCTCCTACAGTTGAACAAAATATGTTATAAGTCCTCTCCCATCTCCCCACAAACACAACAAACATTATCCACAGACATTTTCCTTTTGATCATTTGATGATTAGTGTTCAAATAACCATACCAGCATCTCCAGAGGAAGTTTTCACCTTGCTTTTCACTGGGAGTTTCCAGGTCCTCCAAATACTCATCATCTGGCAGTTACCTGATCTTGAGCTTGCTGTCACCTGGTTGTGCAACTTTGGTTCATTAAGAACATGTAGACTTCCTTGACCTTGAAGATCCCTTTGGAATTCCAATGCCACACCAATTTATCAAAGGACCCTGCATGACTTATAGGAAGTTTAAGAATTTGCTCAGCCTCCTCAGGAGAGAAGGTGGTACACAAGATCCACATCCCACTCCAGTTTGTTATCTATAAAAAGATCACTCACCTTTCTGACCCTCACCCTATTACTCTCAAATTGAATAGAAGGAATGGAATCCTTGGCAGTAGCCAGTAGGGAGCCAAGGAGCATTCCGGACATCTATAGATTTACCATCCCCCACTTGGTACCTCACCCTCAATTTCAGAGACTGCCTAGCATGCAACCAACTTTATAAAGCCACGAATCACTACTCTTGCCCTTGACCTCAAAAAGTTTTTGATTCCAAAAATATTTACCTTTAAGGACCCTACTCATCAATAAATTAGGTTTTGTAATAAGCCTCCATAGCTGTTTAGTCAATAGAGCCTCATTGAAAACCTTAAAGTCTCTGAACCCATTCCCCCACACTCTTTAGGCTTAGACAACAAGTCTCACCCACACCAATGCATTCTGTTCTTACCATTCTCATAAGACCCCCACCAGAAGTTAGCAATCTCTCTACAGATATTATTGCACACAGAGATTGAAAGTCTAAACAAGACATCACATAAGTAGGAAAGACCTCCAAAATAGATTTAATAAAAATCTCACTCTCTGCCTCACTCTAATAGCAATTTTTCCAGGTCTTCACTTTGTTAACCACATAATCAGTAACAAATTGAAAAATATCATTTTTATTTAATTTAATTTACTTTCTTAATTTTTTTCATTGGTTAAGTTATGAATTTTACTTTTGTTTATATTTTTTTTATTTCTTTTTCTCTATCCTATCATGAAAGAGTTATATTTTTGGCAATGAAGTTCAAAAATTAATATAAGTGAAGATATATTCTTGCAAGCATGAGAAATAAAAAGGGAAGTTCTTTTATTTATATTTATATTTATATATTCAAATTTATTTATATTTACATTTATATATTCGATCTATATATATATATATATATATATATATTAGATTTGCATGATCTTATTATGGATATATTTTGTAGGAAATCATATAAGAAGGAAAGATCTTTGGAAAGAGAAGATAGAGATCTACACCTACCATATCTCTTGTGATTTACATGGAAGGAAATTGGATTAAAGAAGGATTGTTTGAAGTGAGAGAAAGAAGAGTCCTAAACTTGGAAGGAAATCAAAAAGGAGTCTTGTACTTGGAGAACACTCAACCCTAAGGAGATTGTATATATACCTGCTTGAAGATCGAATTTGGAGAGCTGAGAGCATTATCTTCTATTCCATATTCGAGCTGCAAGCTTTTTGTGTTTTATTTTCGTTGTTCAGTTTTCGGTGTTCTTATGTCATCGAAGAACTGAAGTCTTTTCTTTTGATTCTTTTGTTTTTCATTCAAACACTTGTGTGATCAGTGCTTAGGGATTAAGTACTGTCTTTAGCTCGAGGGATTCGAGAGGTAAAGTCCACGGGACGTGGTCGGAGAAGTAGTTGATAGAATCGTGTGTAGTTGTGGCTAGGCTAGAAGGGAGTTCGAGTCGTGTAAGTCCAAACTATACAAGTGTGCACAAACGGTTTATCAATGAAAGAGCTCTGAGGGGAAGTGGAACGCTTCCCTGAAGAGTTTTTAAATCTTCGGTTTATTGCTTCCGCTATTCTAGTTGTTTATTTGTATTCTAACAACGTTGAGCGCACTCGGGACAAAATACCTACGTTTCATATCACTTCGATGCAAATACACAGATTAAAATTAGTTTTTAAAATGCCGTATCATTATTTAATTTATAATTTTAATATTAGCATATAACTTATAATACTACATCTATTGCATGTGCGCATAATCAAAATATTAAATTAGTATATTTTGAATGCGTATAAAAATAAGAAATGATGTCAATAAATTGTATAAAGTTGTCAACAAATATAAATTCGAGAAGAATGAATTAGATCTATCTATAAAGTAGCGAAAATGATAGTGCTTATTATTATTATTATTATTATTATTATTAATAATTAGATCTATCTACAAAGTAGCGAAAATGATAGTGCTTATTATTATTATTATTATTATTATTATTATTATTATTATTATTATTATTATTTTCTTTTGGTTTTGACTCAAAATAAAATTTACGGAGAAGTGCTACAAGTACATAATCATGTACATAGAGTTATATATAACACTCACATAAGTGGGTCCTACTAAAAAAAAATAAATAAGTGGACCCCATTCCATGTAAGTGTTATGTACATCTGTATATACATTTATTATGTACTTGTAGCATTTTTCAAATTTATGGCCCTTTGGATGCCACATGCCTATTGGCTATTGATACATCCAACGGCTCAGATGGACACAGCAGATATCCACAGTGTAAAACACACAGCAGCCCTCGATTCCAAAACTAAAAGCTGCGAAGAGTTGGCTGCCCAGTTTCAGTTCGAGAAGGGGAAAAGAGAGGCAAACAATTAGTAGGCCGCCGGAGTAAAAGATGTCGACCGTAGAGGACGATAAGAAGCCTTCCGGTGGCGATTCAGCCGTGCACATCAATCTCAAAGTCAAAGGCCAGGTGAGCTCTTTTTTCCTCGTTTCCCATAGAACGAACCTTTTCCTCTTCCTCACCCTTTCGGGTTTTGTTTTTGTTCAACTGTTTAGGTTTTGAATTTTATAGTGTGACTTGATAGCAAGAATTCTCTTCTTGTGTTTTTGGAATTGTGATCGATTGATTTTCGTTTCTAGGGTTTTAGTACTGCCTTTTATTGTGCACTGTATTTTCCCCTTCAAATTATTCGTTTACCTGCGTAAATTGATTGGTTTTGCATGTTAGTTATTTTGATGGTGCTTCGTGAATTGCTCTATTTTTTTTTTATTTTTTTTTTCTTTCATGGCTGTTGGAATTAGTCATTTTTGTGGAGGGTTTATCTGAATACTTGCATTATGCTGTTCAGTTCGCGTATTCCACTTTGTTTATTGTGACACTTATCTATCATATATGTATGTGGGTAGTTTAGATTGCTGGATAGGAGATCTTAGTCTACTTGTCTTGTGAATTTCTTATGCCTTCTACTTTCAGTTGCTTGGCAATAGAGAGTGCAATTTTTGGTTGTTTAGCTGTGAGAGCATTCATAGTTTTGCTTTTTATTTTTCCTGGTGAAGCATTAGCAATGCTCAAGATGATGTTGGTGGGAAATGTGCCTTTGTGACATTTATCTTGTTTCATTCTGAGCATTGGGGTTGGTTGATGAAAAGACCAAACTCTGTGTCTTTGATGTGAGATTTCTTTATTCATGGACCCGAATGTAGTGGCTAGATAATTGATATTACATGACCTTTAGGTGGTCAAATATGACCTGAGCATAGTTTCTTTTTATTTAAATGATAAAAGACTTACGGTATGGTGTTACCTTCTTGTTTTGGGTCCATACATTTTTTTCACCATTTCAGCCCTTCGTTTTGTTTGGAATCTATGTCTTGTTTAGTAGCTGTTTAGGCACATCACCTATTGAAGTTATATTTTTTGAGGTTATTTCCATTGTAAATTTATCTTTGGATGTTCTTTACATGTCGTCTTTGATTCTTATTAGATTTTTCTGTGAACATTTACTTGTAAAAATAATGTAAATGCATGGGCTGATTCAGTGATTTTACCAAAATATAACTCTTTTCTTTGCTTGACAGTATTAACCTAGAATCATCTGACTCTCTTCACACTGTCCTGTCCTCTGAGTGGGGTTTTCATTATTTTCTCCTCTCTCAAATCCTCAATTTCAATCTGCTATCAGTAGGTGTACATGTCTTGTTCATAAATATAAGTTATTCTAATCTTGGCTTAACCAATGAAACTCTGCCCTTCCTGCTTTGGTTAGCTTTAATATTTATTCATTTATCTACTGTTTGGAGGATTTTTCAAGGATCTTTGACTGCTGATTGTTAGTTATGATTGCATCTCTGTTATACTCTGAATTTCGGAATTTTGTAGTACATTATACTCTGATTGCTTGTTGTAGGATGGAAATGAGGTGTTCTTTAGGATCAAGAGAAGCACTCAACTGAAGAAGCTTATGAATGCTTACTGTGACCGTCAATCACAGGATTTCAACTCCATTGCTTTTCTGTTTGATGGCCGCCGCCTCCGAGGGGAACAAACTCCAGACGAGGTTTTCCTTTGCCCACCCTCTTAAGAGCACTTACTTTAGTTACCTATTTTTATCTTTTATTCGAACTTAAGGAAGACTAATACTGAGTGTTGTGCTCGACAGCTGGAAATGGAAGATGGTGACGAGATAGATGCAATGCTCCATCAGACTGGGGGTTTTACTGCTTAGTGAGAATGGAAGCACGTTGCAGATGGTGCAGTGTTTTATGTATTATATATTTGATCGTTTGTGATTTCTTTAACGCTCGTGTTTTTTTGATACTTGATTGAGTTTAGGCTTTAAGTAACAAATGTGATGAAAATGCACATCGATGCAGATTATTTAATCTAGTATTTTCTTGTACTCAGGTATTTGATTTGGTATGTTCGGGTTATTGTCTTCGGATTGCAAGTTTTGGCTTAATGTTGTTTTTCGTGGCACAGTTACTCGTGAGTCTGGAATTATATCTTGGGCTTGTGTTCAGTTGATGTGGATTTTATTATGAAGAATATGGAGATTTTGACGCTGTTGCGTAAGTTGAATGAGTAAGTGTGATGATCAAGCACGATTTGTACATGAAAACTAAAGAATATAGAAGAGTGTATTACTTTATGAATTACATCACCCAAGGTTTGCTTGCAGAACCCAAATTTAGAATATCCCTCGAGGTCGGGTTTATCAAATGGTTAATTAAATGAGTAATTATAATTGTCACACAAATCCGTTAAAGAACAACTGGAGGACCAGACCAAGTTGGCTTAGGAGGGGTGAAGGACTAATAGAACAACTGGAGGACCAGACCAAGTTGGCTTAGGAGGGGTGAAGGGACTAATAGCTTGTCTATCGGGCGGTATAAGATATTGAAGCCCTGAGAATAACTATTAGACAAAACCAATACCAACCTAGCAACTGAAAACGCGAACCTTGCTAGAAAAAAGAAAACTCAACAACTAACTAACAGAGGAGAATTCAAGTCAATCAGAACAAGTCGAATCCACAAGTCTTTTTCTGGTTCTTGAAGACCCAAAGGTTTCTTGATTTCCATAACCACTACGAGACAACGTTTTTTTTTTTTTTTTTTTCTTGTGATGGCTTAAAACATTCAAGAAAGACGTGACATAACACAACCGCCCAAAGGCATTTCGGTCCATGCGCAGCTGACCAACACATATTGTATCACTAATGGAAATATGCTCTTACATATGCTCGATTTTCTTAGGAAGACGTTGTGAGATACTGAACGAAGCGCGAGTGGTTACGTACCTTAGCATACGTTGACGGTTGTATTGTTCGAAAAACTTAAAATAAACATACGTAATGAGGAATATAAGTTTGATCATATTAATTATCTCCTCAACAATCAGGATTACTTCAACGTCCTCCATTTCATGTCCATCATAAGCGTTTATCTAACCAAATGGCGATTTATTTGATAGTAATAAGTCAAGCAAACAAAAAAAAAAGTACCTCAACTTTTGCAAATACATTATGTTAAATATGTAAATATTGAGTACTATAGGCTAGGTTTAGGCTAAGGCTCATCTATGTATTTATATATATGTGTACTCTTTGTGAATAATATATCACATATTTTTCCCACATTCTCACATGGTATCAGACTAAGGTTTATATATATTCAATTGTGGGTTTAACTTTTTCCGTTCATCTCCGGCCACTTCTGGTTCTCACCGCCCCTGCCATCGCCTCCGACGTGTCCCGGCGAGTCGTCGCCTGAAATTGGGTCCCAATCGCCGACGCGTGCCTTCCACACGCGCCACTTCTTCGTCGTGGCATTGCGACCTTTTGCCAGCGCGTGTGGTTCACCCCGAACTCCTATCGCCGCCATTTTCCAGCCGTCGACTCCTCTCGTCGTAATTCCTGGTGTAGTCGATTTTGGTTTTCGTGAAGTTTTTAATTTCATCTGATTTGTGTTATTTTGACGGTTTCGTGATCCGATTTGTGCCTATATTTTCATCTATTCGTGATATTGTGTTGTTTTGATTTTTGGATATGGATCGTATGGATGTGCATTCTCCTATTATTGTTGTGCCTACTTCCGATTCCGCCCCGTCGCATCAGCCTCAGCCATCAGTCCGTGTTTATTGTGGGATTTGCAGGAGCTCTTGTCACCCTTTTGCCACTTGTTCTAAGGTGGAGTGTCACATTTGTCATGCTCGGGGGCATATTGCTCCAAATTGTTCTAAGGTGGAGTGTCACATCTGTCATGCTCGGGGGCATATTGCTCCAAATTGTTCTAAGGTGGAGTGTCACATTTGTCATGCTCGGGGACATATTGCTCCACATTGTCCAGCCAAGTCACAACGTTTGGGAGGTTCATTTTCTCGATTTCGAGGGTCTCATGGGTCTTCTTCATCGTCCCCTTCTTCGGTTACAACGGCTGTCACTGATGAGCCTCAACACTCGTCTTACACTCTTCAAGACATAGAAGCTATTCTCAAACAGGTTATCCATTCCAATTCTGCTATGTCTACTACCGTAGGTAACCCTCATTGGTACTTTGATTCTGGGTGTTGCAATCACATGACCTCTAGCCTGCAGTTTTTGTCTTCCTCGTCTTCCGTATCTTCTTTATCTCCTATACATACTGCCAATGGTACCCATATGAATATCACTCGCACTGGTCTGGTTTCTTCCCTTCTTTACACCTTCCTGACACATACTGCATTCCTGATTTGGCCTTGAATCTTATTTCTGTTGGTCAATTGGTTGAACAAGGTCTTAATGTTATATTTTCATCTTCTGGTGTTCAGGTTCAGGATACACAGACGGGTCGGCTTCTCGGGACGGGTCGCAAGGTGGGCCGGTTATTTGAGCTTGAGTCTCTTCATATCCCTCATTCTTTCTCATTTTCTGCTCCTGTCACTGATAATAAGTTCAGCTTTCAGTGACATCTTCGTCTTGGGCATGCATCTTCAAATAAAGTTCGTTCTTTATATAATAAAGGTCTTTTGGGTCCCGGTCATTTTGAATCTTTTAGTTGTCTTCATTGTAAGTTTGGGAAACATTCGACTCTTTCTTTTTCTGAGAATTTGTCAACTGCTGATAAACCTTTCTCACATTCTCACACATTAGTTGCGTCTTATGTGAACCAGTCTAAAAGCCAGTACAACATAAATAGCATTACAATGCACAAAATTGAGAACAAGTAAACTATTCAACCACAAATTACAAACAGTATACTCATAACTGAATATCCAACCAGAAATTACAAACAGTATACTCATAATTGAATATCCAAAAACAAATAGCAGAAAAAACAAACTCACAAAAAAGAAAATCAAGAAATAAAAAACAAAGAACCTACATTAAGTACTGGGAAAAAATTGAATACTCATTACGAGGGAAAATAAACTAAGGTATAACAAATATATCTTACACTGGGGCTATGAAGATCGAATGTACAAGGAAGAGGCCACCTTTAGAAAACTTATACAATGAGGCGAAATACACAAATAAATTTGTGTGACCTAGGAAAATTTAGCGTGTGCTTGTAAAAGAAATAATTTGAGTGAATTAACTCAAAGTAAGTTTTTTTTAGTTAATTAGAGTTAATTTAAAAAATGGTATAGTTAATTGGTAGTTGAATTTTGAATTTATATTAAAATAATATTTAAAATAAAATAATTAAAATTGATTTGATGTAAAAGTAGGAGATAGATGATATGAAGTGATGATTTGTTAAAATTATGTGAGTGGATGAATATTGAATTAAAGTTGATATGATGTGTAAAAATAATTCGTTGTTATTATTTAATGATTAGTTGATATTATTTAATTATATTCATAATATTCAGGATAGTGGATTTGAGTTAAAGTTCAGTTAGATTTTTTACGTATGAATTAATGTGATTTGAGTTTATTCTCTTACAAAAATAGCCTTATAATTTCACGCAATCTGTCAAAACTTACAAAAATTCATATAAACATAAACATGACCTACGTGAAACGAAATACCCTGCAGTAAAATAGTTTTCAAGTTCCACATACGCATACGTGTGATCTGTGTGTTCGAAAAATCCTCACGCCATAACACAATCCAAAAAAATAAAAACAAGGGTACAGACGTCAAATGACAATGCATGCACTGTGCAAACACACACAATCTTAGACTAGTTTTATCAGTGACCCCAATGAGTGGGTCACCAAAATAGGAAAGGTTGTGAAAATTGAGCGACCCATGTCACAATGTGACATTGGGTCGCGACCTATATAGTGTGTGAGAATGGGACATTTGTCCCATTTTGATTGGATAAGTGTATTTTTTTGTTGTTTAAAAAAAATAAAAATGATATTAAAATTTGAATTTTTTCATTCTCTACATATAGAGACCACATTTGATATATTTTGGAATAAAATTATAATTTTTAAATAAATTAAAATAAAATAAATATTTAGGTTGAGTTGGGTTGGGGATAAAGATAAATTGAGTTGTGAGGTTGAGTTGTGTAGGTGGATGAGAGATAAATCTATATATATATAATTGCTAGCCTTTCATTTAATTTTACCTCATAAATAAAACCTAATAAATTTTACCTAATAAATAATACAAACTTTCCAAATACAAAAACCGTTACTTTTACAAAATACATCAATTTTGGGCAGTTACAAAATCTAAACTAATGACCATTATTTTATCTAAGTATATCAATTTAGGTTAATTAGCTAAAAATATTTATTTTTTTAATTTCTTATATAATCATTACTATGCTAACTTAATTATGAATTATTTATTACAGAAACTCGTGATTACATAAGCATGTATTCAAAATATAAATTTTTAAAAGAACTTTTTATAAATGTTTATTTGGAATATCTATTATTTTTTATGATATCACTACAATAATTAATCATGATGAAAATGGAAAATGCTGCACATGTACAATATGGACAAATACACTAACAACAATACAAAATAAATTCACCAGCTCTGGAAATTGTATCATATAATAGTTATTATTACAATTAATAATTATATTTTACACTAAATGATATGTGAAAGTTACATAAACATAAGAAACTATATTGTAAAAACTTTTTGTTCGAGTAATTTATTATAAAATCAATATAATATTTCTTTATCTGCTTAAGCGATTAGTTTTTAAATAAATTAATTTTTTTTAATGGCATAGTAATATTCCTTAAAATCGCATAAGCAATTGTTATAATAAATTTAATATTTTTTAGCTAATTAATTAGTCATAGTCCCTTAAAAATTAAAAAATACATTATTTATTTTATTTTATGCAATCAATAAAGTGATTCATATACAATCAAATCGTTATGCACTATTTATTTTAACCAATGATCAAATTTTAAAATATAATAACTTTATTTAACTTATAATTTTAATATTATATGCATAAACATAACTTATAATACCCTATGTTTAAAATATAATATCATTATCTAACTTATAATTTTAATATTATATGCATACAAATAACTTATAATACTTCATTTATATCTGTGCAAATGCACATGATCCAATACTAGTGCATATGAATATGATGAAATGAAACCTCTCCCCTGCACCCCCTCGCTTCTCTCTCTTGTATTATGCTTTGTATTTTGAACTTTTTCAACACACATCATTGTCCAATACAAAACAAGTTTTAGCGTGTTCTAACATACATATTATTGTCCAATTGACAAATTAATTAATCTTTAGCATTCTTTTGGACACCTATTATTGTCCAATTGACAAATTCTAGCATTCTTTCTATTTGAACTTTTCCAAAATTTACTATGTTCTAGTAATTTTTAATTATTAGGTTGGGTTGGATTGAGTTGGAGATAAAGATAGTCTTATTGTTCGGATGACTTTATCTTGGATATGGCATATGGGCCTCAATTTGGTCGCGGGCCGATATCTAAGTCATCAAACATACTGTTTTGGGAAGATTAGGGTGTAAACAAAATTACTCAATCTATATAAAAATATAACTCAACTCTAACTCATTCTCACTATCCTCAATATTATCAATATAATTAAATAATAACAATCAATCATTTTTACACTATCTCATCAACTTTAATTCATTATTCATCAACTGACATAATTTTTACTCACTCATTTAATTTTAACTAACCATCACTTCATATCATCTCTCATACTTTTACATTAAATCAACTTTAATTATTATTTTAATTTAAACTCAAAATCTCACAAAATAATTATACCACTTTTTTTTAAAAAATTAATCATAGTTAACTAAAAACACACTCTAAAGGTGCATTCACATCTAATCTCCCCTAAAAAATGTGCCCAAATATCAGGGCACCCATATCCATAATTTTTTTTTTCATTCATTCAATAAAAAAGTTACCTTATCTCTCATCAACATCATCTCCATATCATCTTTTCACTAATTCTCTCTCCATATAAACACACATCCACATTCCTACACATTCATTTAAATATAAATATGTGAACCACTATATCCATTCAATAAAAAAAAAGAATAAAAAAAGGCTTGCAAAGAGCCGTTGAAAAAAAGAAAGAAAAAGAAAAAAACACCGTTCAAACCATTGAACGAAAGTGATGGGCCCATTTATTTGCACAATTAAATGGATGACTCACAGTGGATTGAACATTAAATAGGCATTTAAATGAGTGGATTGAACGGACCGTTGGGGATGCCCTCAATCAATAAAAATATGAAATGTATTTAACTCTACCATGTAACTTAAATTTATGCAAAAATGAGAAATTGTAATAATAGTATAGGACATGAGTAGTCATTTCCGATAAATTATCTAGAGGTCAACCACTATACATTATGGTCCTACAAAATCACATCATTGTCATATCAAAATAAAAATTTGCATCAAATCAGGCCTTAATCAATTTATTTGGAGAAGATATACGTAACAATGGGACGTGTATATTCACAGTGACTCTAGTATGGAGATACAAAAGATAGTCTGCCAAAATGCACCATAATAAATGGAGGCAGTAGTAAATATTTACTTTTGATTGATGGATCGAAGTAAATTTAGAGTTGGCTTCACACGGAAGCTACACTCAACATTCTCTCATCTCTCTCATCTCTATATATATGTTGCTCTTCTCTCACCATTAGGTAAAAAAAAATAAAAATACAAAAGCTGATAAAACCCAAATTTAATCTTTAAAAGTTAATTGAGAAGTGGATTCAAGATTACAAAAATGTCGATTGCTAATGGCGATATGACATCTGAAGGCGATTCACATGCGTTTCTTAATCTGAAAGTCGCATCTCTAGTTGAGCTCGTTTTTCCCCCCACATTGCAATATATTAATTTAATAAAATTGTGACTACAATGTAATGTTAATTAGTCCTTCATATTTGTATGTTTATTAAGCTGATTTAATATGAAATAATAATAATAATAACTGTAATAATAATTGAAAGGTGGGATTGAAAGACCGCGATGTAATAATTGCGGTGATGACGCAGCTGCCAGCTCCAGTTGTTAGAGCCATGTCACGTCTTAACATGTAATATTATTATATTAACTGCATATTATGTATCCTATTCCTACCCAAGTGCCCATGTTTTTAAACCTTTTTGTGTGTAATAAGTTAATTATGTCTTATTTTGTGGTGCGCCCATCGGCTTGGCTTTGCCTTTTATTAGGGGTTAATGTTTAAATATGTTATTGTATATGTTTTTGTTTGTGATGCAATGAATGTTAAGTTATATTATATGTAGTCAATTTCTGGTACTGCTTTCTGATAGAAAAGAAGTATGTCATGGGCAAAAATCGTGGATTGTTTATAGTCGCAGACCAAATCCAAGAAATCAGTCAGACCAGATTTAAATTGAAGGGGCTGATTTTATGGATCTAAATAGCACCAATCATGGAAGAGTATCTTACCTATTATATAGTAGTATAGTTAATTATAACTAAAGTCTCCTTAGATGAGGAAGGCATCAGAAATCATTATTCCTATATTAGTTCTTTGGGACAGGGAGTTTATTCCTGTTGATCATCTTGCAAAGCATTTAGTTAGTTAATAATAAAAACTCATCCTTTTGTTTCTTGGTTCTTTTCTCTAACAAATTGGTTTGACCTGCCGTGCGAGGAATGACACGAATGGAATCCCGTGTTGAAACGTTAGAGAAGAGCCAAGTTGTTGTAGGTGAGGAACTCACCAACTTGCGGAACAACATGGACAGCCGATTCAATATACTTGAAACGGCAATATCCAAGATCACCAATCTATTGAGTAATAACAGTAGCAGCAACAACAACTTTTCAGAGAACATCTTTCCAGAGAGCAATACATCCAACCACCACAAATCTGCTCTTCATGCCAATGTTTTCGACGAGTTAAAATCCACATCGAAACACATTGATCTTTCGTGTTTTGATGGAACCGGTCCTATTGGATGGATTGCGCGTGCTGAGCAATTTTTTCTGGTGCACCACACGAAGGAAAACTTCAAAGTTGCATCTGCATTCATCTGCATGGAAGGAGCAGCACTCCGATGGCTCCAGCAACAATCTCCAATGATTACCTGGGATCAATTGAAGGAAGAACTCGTTGATCAATTCGGCGGGCACTTAGCAACAAGTCCCAGCGAACGCTTGGCTGCCTTACACCAAACAGGATCTCTGGATGATTACGCCAACGAATTTCGAGCGAGAGCAGCCCAAGTCCCAGGCCTGGATTCACAACTTCAGCTAGGGTTTTTCTTAAATGGACTCAAGGAAGAAATAAGGGTCTGCTTGCGCACATATGATGTGCTCGATCTACGAACAGCCATTGAGCGAGAATTGGATTTCCTAAATTCCAGATTTGGAAGATTTACTACTCGGTATGGTTTGGGCTTCCAATCCAGGCCCATTAATCCATCTCGTTTTGAACCACCAAAACTAAACAACACCTCAACAACCGACCCAAATAAGAATTCTGCAACCCAGTACAAGCCCAATGATCACTTCAGACTAGTTCAAGGCGGCACAGGTTCCTCCTCTTCACAAATACTGCGACATAACACAACAACACAAAAAAGTAGAGTGGCACGCCAATACTCCCATCAAGAATATTTAGACATGCGTGCAAAGGGGTTGTGTTTTTGCTGCAAGCAACCGTACATCCCGATGCATGATTGCCCTAAAAAATCATTGTGTGCTCTCATCGCAGTAGAATACGAGAACACTGATGTTATCTCCGACTTCAGACTAGAAGAATCACAACAACATCAAGCAGAAATCAGTGAAGCTCAACTCTATTTTCTAGATCTACCTTTGACGGCGATAGGTGGAATAGATGGACCGCGAACAATGAAATTTTCAGGTCATGTATGCTGTGAACCAGTGACTATTATGGTAGATAGTGGGGCAAACCACAACTTCATCTCAACAAAACTTGCTCAGAAAATTCCCCAACCAATAGAGTAGACAGTTCGCTTTGGGGTTCGTTTAGGAGATGGCAGTCGAGCAACTTCAACAGGGAAGTATAGCAATTTACCAATTCAACTTCAATCAATCACGATGTCATTAGATTGCTATATATTTCCTCTTGGAGGTATTGACATCATTCTCAGCGTGGCATGGCTCCAAACATTAGGCGATATCAAAGCGAACTGGACAAAAATGAGTATTGAATTTTTGCGGGATAATGAAGAGATTTATCTGTTGGGAGACCCATCTTTATCACGTGCCCTTATCTCTTTGAGCTCATTGCAACAAATGGACGATGACATCGAATATTGCCTCTTGCTCTGGCAGATTACATCATCAATAGAAACTTCATCAACAGAGACTTCAGCCCTCAAGTCCTCAAACGCTCAGGTCCAAGAATTGGAACTAATATTGCAGCAATAAGATACAATTTTTGACGAACCCCGAGGACTTCCCCTTGAAAGGAGACACGATCATCGCATCACCCTAAAATTGGGAACCGCCCCGGTGAATGTGAAGCCCTACCGATATAGCCATCATTAAAAGGATGAAATTGAACGCCTTGTGAATGAAATGCTATTCGCGGGGATAATCCAACCAAGTTCCAACCCTTTTTCCAGCCCAGTTCTACTTGTCAAAAAGAAAGACGGAAGTTGGCGATTTTGCGTTGACTATCGTGAACTAAACAAGGCCACTGTTCCCGATAAGTACCCGATTCCCATGATTAATGATATGCTTGATGAACTCCATGGAGCCGCTTTTTTCTCCAAGTTGGACCTCAAAGCAGGGTATCACCAAATTCGGGTCCATCCCTCAGACATTGCCAAGACAGCATTTCAAACACATTCCGACCACTATGAATTCTTGGTCATGCCATTTGGGTTGACAAATGCCCCAGCCACGTTTCAAGGCCTCATGAACGATATCTTCCGTCCGTATTTGAGGAAATTTGTGCTTGTTTTCTTTGACGATATCCTCATTTACAGCAAAACATGGGAGGCGCATATACAAAACTTTGAAATAGTCTTCAACGTTTTGCTCGGCAATCAACTTAAGGCTAATAAAAAGAAGTGTCATTTCGGGAAGACATCCGTAGAGTATTTGGGACATGTTGTCTCAAGATCTGGCGTGTCAATGGATCCAAGTAAAATATCCAGTGTTATTAGGTGGCCGCAACCTAAGTCAGTTAAAGGCGTACGGGGATTTCTAGGCCTCACGGGATATTATAGGCGGTTTATTAAAGAATATGGCCAGATCGCAAGACCTCTCACAGAATTACTTAAAAAGGAGGTTGGGGACTTCAAATGGACAGAGCGAGCACATGTCACTTTTGAAAAAAATTGAAAAATGCCATCACCTCTTCTCCAGTGCTGGTAATGCTTGACTTCAATAAAAGTTTTGTGATTGAATGTGATGCTTCAGGCAAAGGTGTGGGAGCAGTCCTGATGCAAGAGCAGCGGCCTATTGGATATTATAGCAAAGCACTCTCGGGGAGAGTGTTGGCCAAATCGGCATACGAAAAAGAGTTAATGGCATTGGTTTTGGCAATTCAACATTGACGGCCTTATTTAATCGGCAGAAGATTTGAAATTTGCACTGACCATCGGAGCCTAAAGTACATTTTGCAACAACGAATTACAACTCCTTCTCAGCAAAATTGGTTGGCAAAACTCATGGGTTATGATTTTGAGGTCACCTACAAACCGGGTGTAACAAATAAAACAGCAGATGGTTTATCCAGGCAATTTGAGGACAAGGATTTGGCAGCCATTTCTGTTCCCACATGGATTGACTGGGATAAACTTGATTCAGTCGTCCTAGAGGATGCGGAGTTAGGGGCAATCATCGACCAACTTCGACTGAATCAAAATAGCCAGCCACCATATCAGCTTGTTCATGGAAGACTATTTTACAAAGGTCGAATCGTCATTCCTGCTACTTCACCATGGGTGCAACAACTCTTAGACGAGTTTCATTCCACTCCAACAGGAGGCCACTCAGGTGCGTACCGTACATATCGGCGATTGGCTGCTAGCATTTATTGGTGAGGCATGATGAAACAAGTACAAAAATATGTTGTTGAGTGTCTAATTTGCCAAAGGTATAAGTATGAAACATTATCACCAGCTGGATTGCTCAACCCGCTCCCTATTCCTAATAACATCTGGGAAGATATATCAATGGACTTCATCACGGGTTTACCGCGATCAAATGGGTTTGATTGCATCTGGGTAGTAGTCGATCGACTTAGCAAATATGCCCATTTCATTGGTCTTCGACATCCTTTCACCGCCCGAACCTTAGTCAAATTGTTTGCTAAAGAAATTGTGCGTCTACACAGAGTCCCACGATCCATCGTCAGTGATCGAGACCCAATTTTCTTGAGCAATTTCTGGAGGGAATTTTTCCCTAAAATAGGCACCAAACTTCGCATGAGCACAGCCTACCACCCGCAAACTGACGGACAGTCTGAAGTAACAAATCGTTGCGTGGAGCAATACTTGAGATGTTTCGCTTCAGAACAACCCAAGCAATGGGGTCGTTGGTCGCATTGGGCTGAATATTGGTTTAATAGCAGCTTTCATTGGGCAGCAGGCCGAACTCCATTTGAATGTGTGTAAGGCAGGCCACCACCCACTTTGCATCAGTTTATGCCAGGGGAATTCAAGGTTGCAGCCGTTGCGGAAGAGCATAATGATAGGGCAGAATTGATCAAGCAGCTGCACTTTAACCTCACTAAAGCGCAACAGCGGATGATTAACAGTGCCAATCGCAAGAGATGACCTTTAGAATTTCATGAGGGAGATCAAGTTCTTTTGAAACTTCGGCCCCATCGCCAGACCTCTATGGCGAATCGTGTCAATCAGAAGCTGGCTGCAAGGTATTATGGCCCATATTGCATTCTTCGAAAGTTGAGCCCCGTGGTTTACAAGTTAGAATTACCCAATGGGGCACGTATACACCCAGTTTTTCACATCTCCCAGCTTAAGAATCTTAACAGGCAGCATGACGTCACCAAGGATTTACCTGAAGCCTTGGCGGTAGAAGAAACAAGTTACACCCCACAAGACATACTGGATGCTCGAAAGCAGCTCGGCAGGGAGCAGGTCTTGGTTTAGTGGGAAGGTCGGCCTGCGGAGGAAGCAACTTGGGTTGATCTTTCGGATTTTATGAGGCAGTTTCCAAACTGCAGCCTTGTGGACAAGGCCAATTCTTTAGGGGGTGGCAATGATAGAAAAGAAGCATGTCATGGGAAAAAATCATGGATTGTTTATAGTCGCAGGCCAAATCCAAGGAATCAGTCAGATCAAATTTAAATTGAAGGGGCTGATTTTATGGATCTAAATAGCACCAATCATGGAAGAGAATCCTACCTAATATATAATAGTATAGCTAATTATAAATAAAGCCACCTTAGATGAGGAAGGCAACATAAATTATTATTCCTATATTAGTTCCTTGGGACAAGGAGTTTATTCCTTTTGGTCTTTACCCTAGCTTTTTCCTGTTGATCATCTTGCAAAACATTCATTTAGTTAATAATAAAACTCTTCCTTTTGTTTCTTGGTTCTTTTCTCTAATACTTTCCTTTGACTTTTTCTGCTATTTATTCAATCACATTCATTTTTACATTTTTTTAACATCCTAACTTCATGCTCTAACTAGAATTTACAATCCTTCTAACAAATAGACAGTCATACCGCATTCATCTCTAACATATGCAACCTACAAGTTTTTCTCTCTTTGCTACAACAAGTGTCTTGCATACCATAAAATGAACCTCCATTATAGTCATATGTAGTGTTGCAGTGTGTAACAAAAGACTTACTTCCTAGTGAAGTTCAAAAAAGTTAGATTTGATGGTTCCACATTGAACACTAATAACTACGTAGAATTTGAAGATATTAATTCCAAAAGATACTTATCTTGGCATCTCCTCGTCCTTTCCCATCTCAAGCTTCCCTATTACACCTCACCATAAATCTAAATTATCTAATGGCTCTCATGGCAAAAAAGATATGATTTTTGGAAAGTTCCAAAACTAATATTTAGAAGGGGCAGAAATTATTTCCGTAATCAGAGTCTGGTGCTGTCCGGATGGCTTTATCTTGGATATGGCAGATTAGCCTCAATTTGGTCATTACTTTTTTGTGGAGATTAAGATGTGTTTGTAAACAAAATTACTCAATCCATATTTATTTCATACATAAAATTTAACTCTGACTTTAACCAAACTCTTCCTTTCATTATATTATCAATTTATTTATATAATAACAATCAATTATTTTTATATATTTTATCAACTATAATTCATTATTCATTGTCTTACATAATTTTAACTAATCATCAGTTTATACAGGGACGGATTTAGATGTACTATAGGGGGGGCAATTGTCCCCCCCAAATTTTTTACTTTTTGTTTTATATATATACACATTACTACCTAAAATATGTAATACATATTACAATCATATTGAATTTATGCATGTATTCCAAAATTATTAATAACTATTAGTATGGTCTATCTAATAATCCTTTATAACTACAGTAAATCTTTTAAGTAAATTCATACCCTCTTCAAATGTAATATTTGGTGTTTTTCCTTTTATATTGTAGAGCTTAATTGAAGTGAATGTTGAAATATTAAAGTCCAAAACTTATATTTTTTTAAAGCATATTTATTATTTATTTTATCTATTTTATAATACAATTTTATGCCATATATATACATAAATGTGTGATATATTAAAAATTATATATTTCGTCTGAGGTGTTAAGATAAACACCTCATGATGAAGCTCATGTTTGTCTAATAAAGGAATCATCCCAGCTTCACTCATTTAATAAACGAACAAAAATGTGAGCTTGAGCTCGTTTTATTTAATAAACAAATTCAATTAGTTTTTCATCTTAGCTCATTTAAATATATAAACAAGATGAGCTCATACTTTCATTGGTCAAATCGAATTTGTTCACAAACAATTCATTTTTGAAAATAGTTGCAGTCCCTCCAAAGAAAAATCTGTGGATCTGCCCCTGAGTTTATATAATTTATCTCTTATTTTTACATCAAATCAAATTTTAATAAAAATTGTGAATTCCATGCAATTAATCATATCATTTTCTTTAAATTAATCTTGATTAACTAAAAAATTCATTTTTAGCAAAATTATTTTATAAATAAACACTCCTAAGGGTCCAATCCCATCTATATGTGCCCAATTTTTTTTTTTTCAAACGACAGAAACTATATCTCATTCCATAAGAATAATAAGTACAATGCAGCCAAAAACCGAGTTATACAACTGGGAGGACATACACAAACAAGTGATGCCTATAATCGGACAAAACTACATAATCCATACTAAAACCAAACACAGCTAAACCCA